GGATTATTCAGCTTCAGTTCCTTTAAAAGATTTAATGATTCATACTTTGCAAAGAATCTGTGCAGTTCAGGAACATGTGCTGAGGCACCTGATAATGAACAACAAAGCAATAAAAATAATGACACTCACGTGTAAGGCTGGTTTTGATGGTGCTACTGGCCAAAGCATTTATAAACAAGTTTTATCAGAACTTGACATGAACAGAGATTTAAAGTGTGAAGAATCATTATTTGTTACTTGTCTAATCCCATTGGATTTTAATGGATTTAGCAACAGTAACGAAAAAGTACCTATTTGGAGAAATCAAAAGTCGTCATCATTAGTCTATTGTAGACCCATAAGATTTGCTTACAAAACGGAATCCAAGGATCCTGTGATCGAAGAAGATCAGTACATTAAAAGTGAGATAGAAAGCTTGGGTATGATTTTATTAGAGGTTCGCGGTTCTTCTATTGAAGTGAGTTGTATTATTGAACTAACAAGGATTGATGGGAAGGTTCAACCGATATTATTGGAGAAAACTAACTCATACCAATGCAGTGTGTGGTGTCTCTCAAAAAAATATGAATAGTCTTGATATAGATTATACTAATGGAGAGTTCAAATATGGTCTTTCCATACTTCATGCATGGATTCAATTTTTTGAGATGGTTTTGAATATAAAAAAGAAACAAAAAAGTGGCAGGCAAGATCTAACGAACACAAAGAAAAAGCATCTCTAGCTAAACAAAAAATTCAGATTGATTTTATGAACAAAATAGGACTTGTTGTTGATTTTCCTTAAAGTGGTGGTTCTGGAACAAGCAATGATGGCAATACCTCAAGGCGTACTTTTGAAGCATATGAATAAACAGCTGAAATTCTGGGTATTGATCAAAACCTTATATTCAGATTTTACATAATCTTGGTAACACTCTCTTTAGGATATGAAAAAGACAGCTTAATATCAAGGATTATTGTTTTGACACTGTTAGACTATATGTGTCTCTTTATCCATGGTATTAAATGCCTCAATCAGTTCACAAAGTATTGATACATGGACATGACATAATTAAAAACCTTACATTACCCATCGGACTTATGTCAGAGGAAGCTCAAGAAGCTAGAAATAAAGATTTCAAATCTTATCGCAAAAATTTCAGCCGAAAAATATCCAGATAAGCTAGTTTACAGTGATCTTGTTATTTCATCACTGCGTAAATCAACTTCACACCAAACAAATCATAAAGCATTTCCCTTCAGATGTTTTACAATTACTTAAATAATCTTTAAAAGATGTTATTGTTTTATAATTTTTTGATGTTATTTAAAATTGGCAATATTTTCTTGCACTATTTTTTTTTATTACTATTGCAAAAACATTATTAAACTAAAAAATTAATTATTATTCAATTAGATGGATTGAAAATTCGATAGAATATTCAAATATTAACTTACACCTTTAAAACTAAGGTAAGTATCTGGTAACTAAGCAATATAAGTATCCATAGCAACTAAATTAAAAAAATTAACACTTTTATAATAAGTGTGATGTCATATTGGTACTAATACCAAATTTAGGGAATATAGCACTCATAAAATATCTGCAGATAACAAAAATAAGTTGTTGCTAAGCAAAATAAAAGTATCCAAAGCAACGAAATGAAAAATATTACCTTCATAAAAAGCGCAGACATCATATTAGTACTCATGCTAATTTTAGTAAATATAGCTCTAATATTAAATTAGTAATGAATTTTGTCCAGTAAAAGTAAGTTCTGGCTCACAGTGCAATGCTCTAAACATTATTAAAATTGATATAACCAATTCAAGCAGCTTCAATATTAGTTTTGCCATTGAAGAATTACTAGACAAGATCTGTTTTAATATCCTTAAAAAGATCCTTGCTGACTCACGCCATCCTAAACCACTAAATTAGTTAACACCAACAGCAGAAACTTAAACGAATTCCCACTTGCTCTAAACACTGCAAAGACCACTTAAAAATGTTTTATTCAAAAATACCTCCGTATTCTTCGTGATGGTATCAGCAACCTCTACCTACCACGATAGCCAGGTAAAAGTTGTGTGTATATATATATATATATATATATATATATATATATATATATATATATATATATATATATATATATATATATATATATATATATATATATATATATATATATTATACATACATACGCAAACATTTATATAATTTTTCGAAAAGTTTAAATATATGTGAATTGAATTATTTAAAAAAAAACTGTTTTTTTGATTTTAGAATATAAAGACTAGAAAGTTTTAAAACGAACGTTATGCATGTGTTACACATCTCTTTTATAGTTTAGTTAAGAAAAAGTTTTGTCAATATATATTATACTTACTTGTATAATTTATATTGACAAAATAATGTACTAATAAATAATAATATTTGCGCATTTGTCAACCTAATATACAGTCATGTTCTTTAAGCTTGTATAACCAATTATTGTTACTAAAAAATAAAATAGTAACAATCATTGATTATAAAAAGTTTACTTTTTATCTCAAGCATATCAAGTAATATGTATGCACTAAAACCAATATATATCTATTATGTTTAAAAAGTCTTTTCTAACTGTAGCTTTATCTATTTATCTATCATATATCTGTATATCAATCTATTTATCATTATCTACAAATAGTATTGCTTACCTTAGTAAGCAATCTGAAGTCAAATAGTCTGACTTGCAGTGGAGTGCTGCTTCATCGACTGAGGGTTTGGGATGGGGCAGCAATCGTTTCATTCATCATTTTTCGTTTTTTATTTTTATAAGCATTTGCTCACTTTTTTTAGGTAAGCAAAAAAAGTGAGCAAATGCTTATAAAAATACGCTTTAGTAAGTGATATATATATATATATATATATATATATATATATATATATATATATATATATATATATATATATATATATATATATATATATATATATACATATATATATATATATATATATATATAAAATGCTTTCTTGCGGGGATTTTTTTTTGCAAAAAAAGTGTTGATTGCGGGGACCGTTTGCTTACGGGGACACAAATCGGTCCCCGTTAATTTCAGGCTTGATTTATAACTGCAGCGCAATTAAAATGTCTTTCAATTATCATTGTATATAAAGTAGACTATACTATTATTGTTATTAAGTTAATGTTCGTGGTTTAAATTAATTAAGTTAAAACATCTATTATAGTATGTAAACTTATCCTTATATAATTCTATAATTATAGTTATATTTTTTATATAATTATATAATATACAACGAATTATATAAACTATATAATTCGTGGTTTAAATGTTGTTGTTTTTGAGTAATTAGCTTTGCTATTTCGGGTATGTATATATTTAATAAAAAGCGAAGTCCATTGGTTTATGCATTTACGGGGAGAAACTAGAAAATGATTTTTTGCATGTATATGCATATATATCTTACTTTTTTTTTTTTGAAAACTCTTTTATCTTCTTAGAAAAATTAAATAAATATTAAAAAAAGTAATGAACTATAATCTAATCATGAATATTTTTTTTTCACTCTTGAAAGTTTTTTTTCAGATGCAAACTTGCGAATTTGATTAAAAATGCATTTAAAAATTTAAACAAATGAAACGATAATGTTTTTTTTTATTTTGTCATTGACTTTATCTTTATATTATTAGAATTGATTTATGTTGTTTTTGTATTTTGACTTTAAATATAACTACTTTACTGACAGTAAAGATATTATAACCTGACTTAAATTTTTACATCTTAGTAAGATGTTAAAGTCTTTATGATGTTATAGTATTTTAAACTTCAAGATTTTATAATACCATCAAGATGTTTTCATAAAAGATGTTTATGATACATATCAAACATTTATAATATATATTTCAAAAATATTTAATATATATTATTTATAATATACTATTTAGTAAGATATTTATAATATATTTTATCCTACTTTAGTTATAAATACTTTACTGTCAGTAAAGATAATCTTAAAGTATTTATAATTAAAGTACGATATAAAGTAGTAAAAATATCTTTAACAAATAAAGTATTTATAATATCTTTGTGATAATAAAGTATGATTTCCCTTTTGTACCTACTAACTGTAATGCTGTGCATAAGAGAGTTTTTAACTGAAAAATATTTTTTCTACTCAGTGGGTACAAGAAGGTTTTGCGAACGTTTTTCAATGGTTTTTTAAAACGTTTTTGAATGGTTTTTTAAACGTCCACATCACGTCAATTCATCAACCACGTGATAGTTATGGTGGCGGAGGCGTTAGTATTTTTGTCCACAATTCAATTGATTTTTCCATCGCAATGACTTATGCGTTAATGAAACAGATTGTGAGTCATTGTACATTGAACTTTATAATAAAACCACAAAAAACTTAATTGTTAATGCTATTTATAGAAAGCCGTCTGGTAACTTAACAAAATTTAAGAATTCAGTTCTTTATTGACTAAAGTCAATAAAGAACGGAAGCATATTTGCGTTGTCGGCGATATCAATTTGAACTTGTTAAAACAAGTTTCAAATAAAGGTCCCAGTGGGCACAAGAACGTTTTGCAAACGTTTTTTAATGGTCCCGTAAAAACGTTTTTTAATGTTTTTTTAAAGGTCCATATGAAACGGTGACCGGACGTTTTCCTAAAAACGTTTTATGAACGTTTTTTAATGGTCCCGGAAAAACGTTTTTTATTGGTTTTTTAAACGTCCATATGAAGCAGTGACCGGACGTTTTTCTAAAAACGTTTTTTGAACGTTTTTTAAGGGCCTCACGAAAACGTTTTTTTATTGGTTTTTATTATGTCTAAATGAAGCGATTTGACGTTTTCAACAATTGCCCTAAAAATCTTTTTTATGTATAAGTTATTTAAGTAAATAACTTATGTTATACAAAAAAAAATCTTATACAAATAAAAATTTAGGTGCAACAGCCTAGGTCAGGATAATTTAATAAATTTCTAAAAGTTTAATTTTCTGTTTATTTATAATATAAGCATACCAAAATAAAAAATCAAACATTTACAATATAAACATACAAAAATGTAATAAAATAATTGTTATGCTACTCTATTAAGAGCTCTCTTCAAATGATCTTCTACTTATCGACCAAATCGAACTTTGATGCATGCGACACTAATGTTTCTAAAAAGCAAAATACTATAGAAATCTAGTACATATTCCAACTTGGATTCCAACTAGTACATCTTTTCGAAAATAAAAAGTCAACATTTACATACATGTTCCACCCATAGGCTTAAAACTTGATGACAGTTCATCATAACAATAAATTCCAGTAATGCTTCTTGGTAAGTCTTTTTTAACTTGATGAAAAAAAGTTCCATATATTATTTATTAACGTGTTGGAAATGCTAACATATTTTCTAACTTGATGAAAAATATTTATCTGGTTTTATTCTAAACTAAACTTTTAATTAAACCAGATAACACTCTTTGAAAAACTTACATTCCGCAACCTTTTGCACTTTATTATCAAGACTTGCTTCTCTTGCAAAGAATTGTGATGTTGTACTGTTTCATTTAAAAATTAATGCTAAAAAACAAGTACAAATAACTGCACCCTTTAATCTTCTATATAGACTTACATTGAAGTATTTAACTTATAACAAGATACAACACCAATTTAAAAAACTTTTCAAAAGGTTTGCATATATGTGAACTAAATATAAAAAAAACCTGTTTCTTGAAATTTCAAACTCGAAGACTCTAAAGTTTTGAATCAAACTTTAGAGTCTTCTCTAAAGTTTGCGTAATGCATGCTTTAATTGCATTAAAGCATGCATTACGCATCTCTTCTTTACTTTAGTCAAGATATAGTATCGTCAATATATCTTCTCACCATTCTTAATAAGTTAATAATTCTTTATCAATATTTTTGTACTTACCTAATTTGCAGTCATTTTCCAAAATTTTTTATAATCAATGATTGTTACAACTAAATAAACTATTCCGTTTAAGCTGAAAAAAAATATTGCTTAATATTATTATGTACAAATTACCCAATAAAGATCCTGAGGAGAACAAGTTATTTTTAGTAGAAATTCTACTTGTATAAATAAAGTGATTGGTAGCTGGAGCAGAAATAATCTAGATAGAAATAGCTTCAAAAGATTTATTT